GTTCAGTACAGTTGCGAGCGGCATTGCGAAGGCTCTCGTGTTCAAGAATTTCACGGTGTACCAGCGGAAGAAATGGATGGGCGCAGACGAGGCGTGCTGCGAGTTCGCGCTGCCCCTTCTGTTAGGGAACGTGCTGGTTGAGGCGTACACGGTTTTCTGCGATCGCCTCAAGGGCTTGCCATATCGACCTGATGCGCACCATCCAGGTGGCGGTGCTCCAGCGGCAGCCGCGCTCGGCGCCTTGCTCGACGCTGGAGCCCTCCCCGACGAGGAGGCGATGGAGGCTCGGCGAGACGATGCAGTCATCGACCCGAGGGGGCTGGCCCCCATTGCCGTAGCAGCGGCCGAGGTCGCGAGGAAGCGCAAGGTAGCTTTGGATTGGCTGACGGACAGGTCCAGAACTTCGCCATGTTCCCAGGTCGTGGTGCTCAAGATGATACTGTCTATCTTGCAGACAATGCAGGCGGAGGAGCTCTACATCGGGTCCAAGAAGTGGGAGCGGCGCGAGGAGGCGAAAGCTGCGCGGCTGGCAAGGCAACCCAATACGGGCAAACTGCTTCGCACATACGCAGTGTTGGTGCACGCGGAAGGCGAGATCGAAGCCCGAGCATTGAAGAGAATGCGGACCCTTCTTTTCGAGCATCGCATTTGGATACTGCTGCGAGATGAAGATATGACAAACGATTTGAAAGCAGCAGCATTTACAAGCTTATCGTCGGCAGGGGCCTACATCGAGGACTTGATCGCGGGCCCGCATTCCCAACCACCGTGGACTTTGTTTCTCGTGCTTGCCCATCCCGAGCTCGCAGACGCAATCCAGCAGACGCCGACATGTCAATTGGACAGATGGAGTAGGAAATTCTTGGAAAGAAATGACCTCCGCACAGACGAGGCCAAAATGAAGCTCTTGGTGCACGCCATCCTCATTTCAACGAACACTGATCACCTCGAGGTCTCGAACGCACATATTCGTAGGATTGTGAAAAAGCATGTGCAATGCAGGCAGTCTGATCCAATTGGGCTCGGTACGAAATGGATTGCTTCTTGCATTCGCAAATGGAGTACGGCGTCAGGAGATTCTGTGGGTTCTGGGGCAGACACCGAGGGCACCGACGAGCACAATCCTGGCGGTCCAAAGCGGCGGGGTGGCGGCGGAGCATGGCATGCTTTCGTGAGGAAGCAGAGGAGTAATGATCTGGCAGAGGTTGGTCGCCTGTATCAGGCCCTCAAGAACACCGTCGGTTCTGAGGTGATGGAGCAGTGTATCGCGGAGGGCAAGGCGGCCACAGAGAGGCGGAAAAAGGGGGAACCAGGGTTCGGCATGAAGCGTAGCAAGGTCGATCGCATGCAAGAGCAACGGTACTTGGTGGGCAAGCTGTCGGGGGTCGATCCTGAGAGTGCAGTCGAGAAGTTGGTTAGCGACGCGCAGACGTATTCCTACGATGTCGCCGAGACGATGCTGCTGACCAATAGATTGCGCTCTGCTCGTAATGCAATGCGACGCGATGAGGAAGCGAAGGACTCCAGGGACATTGCCGCCTTCGAGGCAGATGCGGCCCAAGCTCGTCGGGACGAGCTCGCCAGTCAGCTGCCCGAGACTGCCCACCATGTTTCAGGACTGAGAGTGGTCCCTGGCCCCATCCACGGCATGAGGGTGATGGAAGTCGACGTTGGGGCGGCTGCGGCAGATGCCACGGAGTTGATTCAGTACATGAATGATATGAAGTTCCATCAGAAGAATTTCATGGCATCCTTGAGTAATCATTGGAACTTCCTTCACAGGACGATGCGCGACGATGTCGAGGATGCAGCCAAGTCGAGCGATGAGGAGGAGGAGCATCGCCATGGTTGCTGCTGGGGCCTGGGCGTCTGCATATGCTCGGATGCTGGGGTGCAGCTATGGCGTTTTCGGAACTCCGTGCTGCTCGCCATGAAGGCCATGTGCCCGAGGAGCGGGTGCAACCGCAGGCAGCTGCTCAAGGACGATCACATCGTCCTGCGATTCGAGTCGTCGCTTGCTGACGGTGCAGATGATGCTTTGGCTGACTTCTGGGGTCTCGACACGGACGTCCGCTATTGGCACGTCAGCAGCCAATCCTTGGCGCCATTTACGCCGCGCGTGCAGGAGATGATCGTGGCCAGTGATGAGGATGCACTTGGCGCCAACCGAAGGGGAGATGAGATTGCACTCAAGGTGGGTCGTGCGAACTGGGGCGCGGGGGCATGTGGTTGGGGCCCAGAGCTACAGAGCCACATCTTGTTCCATGGGACCCCTGGTGCTTAGCTTGCCCCCATCATCAATTCCATTGGCGATGTCCACGAGGGCAGTCTGGGGGTCTGGAGGAGCGGCGCTGGTCGCGGGCACTAGCATGTTCAAGCAATAGCGCCGACAATGGTGAAGTGAGGCCTTCGGGTGGCCTCTGGGCTCTTGGCTCTTGGCCCGTGGTGCTATCTTGGGCCTTGGGATCTTGGGTATTTGGTTTTGTGCACTATTTGATAGATTCGGGCTTTTGCCACCCCCACCATTGGGGCTCTCCTTGATCTCCTCGGGAGCTTCGGGCGATTTTCTGAGTTGTAGCCTGTAGGCCTGTAGGCTGTAGGCTGTAGGCTGTAGGCTGGAACGGTGGTTCATTAGTTTGCGCATCACCGCTCGGATGTGGCATAGCGCACAACATCACGTTTGGGGCATCTTGTTGCACTCTTGGGTCATGGCGTCTTGGCTCTAGGGTCTAATGTCTAATGTCTAATGTTTAGGGTTTAGGGTCTAGGGTCTAGGGTCTATGGCCCTCATGGTGCCACCTGGAGCCTGGCCCCCCCCCCCCCCCTGGAGCTGTCTCTGCACGCATCGCACCCTTCTGAGGCATCGCGATCTTGGGGCAATCTTGAGGCATCATTGGCTTATGGGGCCCATCGGTAGCGACACTGTGATAAAGAATAGTGCGCAGGGAACGTATGTATTATTATGTCTGGTGTTTTCTAAGCTATGGGCCCCGAGCCGCATGCCCGCTGCGCTCTCGGAAGGCAGCGACTGATTGGTGCAACCTGTATGTGATGGCTGAGCGGTTTTCGTTCAACCTGAACTGGCGCATGTCCTTGTTGGAGCTCGTCACGCACGGGCGTTCATGCCCTCGTTTCCAGCCCGCGGTGCCTCTCTTCAAAGAGTTTGACCCGCCCGTGGAGCAGCGACAGGTATGGCCTACAGTGCCGCGCAGCAGGGGTCGTCCTGGACCTCGGGGCGGCCGTGGTGGAGGTGGAGGCGACGGCGATGGCCGCGGGCGCGCGCGCGGCCGCAGCGGTGCCCGCGGGAGAGGGCGAGGGCGCCGCGGGCGCGCCGCTGCCGCGCCTGCCGCGCCCGCGCCGCCGCCAGAGGCGGGGCGCGGGGCTGGGGCGCGCGGCCGCGGCCGCGGTGGAGGCGACGGCTACGTGCATGAGCCGTGGCTGGAGGGCTCGGACGTCGGCTCCGATGACGGCATGGGCGGCGGAGACGACGTGCGCGTCGGTGCACACTTCGACGAGCGCGACGAGGCCGAGGGGTCAGACGTCGGCTCCGACGGCGCGGGCTCGGGCGTGAATGATTCAAGCTCGGACGGATCTTGGGAACAGCACGGCTCCGACGAGGAGCTCGGTCTTTAATTGCACCAGCCCACCTCCCCCATCCTTCCGATTTCGGATTGGGTGAGGGGAGGGACATGCACGGGGGGCGGGGGGTAGGGTAGGGTCAATCCGTCAAGCCGTCAAGCCAGCTCGAGCGAGTCAAGCATTGCATGCCCAGTCCCACCCGCCCTCCCACAACATGAGAAACAGTGATGAGTTGGACGCGGTGGTAACGGGATGGGAAATCTGTGGGGCGGGGTGTAGTGTGTAGTGGGTATGGGGCGGGGCGGGGTAGAAGGGGGGAAGGCTGCGGGAAGCGGCGGGAGGAGCGGATGAGCGGTGATCATGATGGTGGGGGCGGAATGCGATGGGGAGGATGGGGGAGGGGGGGGGGGGGAAGGGGATACGGATGCGATGAGGGCCCGAGCAGGTTGGGGGAGAGGGGCGAGGGAGGGGCGATGCGCGAAGTAGCATTGGGAACTAGGAACTATGACGCTAGGTGATAGGAGCTAGGAACTAGGAGGCAGGGCAATGATTGATAATTGGTGAAGCGCGTGGGGTAATGCAACGCGGAAGGCTTGGGGCTACGGGCTAGGGGCTAGGGGCTGGGAAGATTGCGGGGATCGTGGAGATGGGGTGCCGATGAGGGCGATGATGAGGGGGATTGCGAGGGGCGAGGAGGAGGGCAAGGGCGGGGAAGAGGGGGTTGCAGGATGATGGGTAGGAGGAAAGGGGGTAGGGCACGGTGGAACTCAAAGAGGCAGGCGGCCCGCCCTCCCCAGACAAATCCGCCCCCCTCACCCTCTCCCCCCCACCGCCCCCACCCACCGCGCCATTCCCGCCTCAGGAGACTGACGACTCGGGGTTGTCGTGGAGGGGGGACACGGAGGAGGAGGACAGCGAGGAGCACGAGGAACAATATAACGGCTTTTCGGTCATTCCGCTGCCCCTCGGGTTCGCATTGATGGTGGTTTCGCCTCAGCGCCTCAGCACATGTCACGCTCCAGCTCCTGATGTGGGCGGGGGGCTTCAGAATTGCGCGGTCGCGGTAGCGCGCGCGCGCTTTTCGAATTGCGCTTTCGGCTCGGCGCCAGTCTCGCCCCTGCCACTCTGCTGCCCTGCAGCCGCGTGTTGCGATTGCCACTCTTCTGTGTCCCTCTGGCGGTGGCTGCGCGGTTGACCCCCCCCGCCATGCACATATACGTTGCGCAGCTCGTGCGTCGAATTTGTCGGCGGCGTGCGCGTTGCTCGCCCGATTATGCGGAAACGTGTCCGCGGCGGGCGGCCGCCGCGTACTGTATGTTTCGCGCGCGCGCGTTAAATTCTTAACGCTTCGTGTAACCCGACCAGCATATTCAGAAGCCATGCCCATGAGAGTTGACGGGAAATGCCAAGAAGGGACACATATAATGAACCAAAGTGCCAAAGTGGGCAAGGCGAGAAGGGTGGTCAGGGTGTTGGAATGTTGGAGTGTTGGAGCCCTCTCTGAGCTCTTTTGGAAGGTCTTTGGGCCCTCTTGGGGTTGTTGGGCGGGCGGGGGGGGGGGAGCGGGGTTGGGGGGGGGGGATGGGGGGGGCATCGGGGCCCTCTTGATGCCCTCCTGGGGCTCTCTTAGGGGCTTTTTGGGAGCCCTGGAGGGCCTCTTGGGGCTGTCGTGGAGGGTGTCGGTTAAAAGATGTGGCGTCTTCCCGTGGTGTTCCCCTCTGGGGCAATCAAGATAGCCCCTTGGGGCGTTCTTGGGCTTCTGTTGGGGCGCTATTGGGCGCTCTTGGGGTCGTCATAGGGGCCTCGTGGGCTCTTCTTGGGGCTTTCCTATGCCATCTTAAGGCTTGAGAAGCGCATCGGAAGAGAAACGGCGAGGGAGCACACATGGTAACATTTCCTTGCGTTTGTTGAAGGTGTTGAGTCTTGGCTTCTCGGGGGGGTCCTGAGGGGTCTGCAAGAGCACCTTCAACCGTCTTGTGTCTTGTGGCCCTCTTAAGGCCTTTTGGAGGCATGGTGGAGCTCATCTTGAGCGACCTTGCACTGTCTTGAGCCATCTTGGAGGCCATCCATGAGCCCTCTTGGAGCAATCTATGGGTATCTTGTGCGGCCCACCCCCTCGCGGGGACCCCCGTCCAGGTCCAGGGGAGGGGGTATGGGGAGGGGTAAACCCGTCCCCGAAGGGGAAGGAGGGGTTGTGGAAGGGGAAACAGGAACATCGTTAAACCGTCTGTCGCCCAAAGGGCTGGCGGGATTTTAGCTTTTAGCGGCTGGTGGTTGCGGGCAGAAGTGCCTTGGGTGTTGGCTTGAGGCTTGAATTTGATGTGCACGTATTTCGATATTCTGGCAGTTTTGTTTTAGGCTTTCGGTAGTAGGTAGTAGGTAGTAGGTAGTAGGGTTTAAGTGTTGCGTTTACGCGTTTACGCGTCGGGCGTAGGCTTAGACCGGGCTCCGTTGCAGGTGTAGGTGCGTAGGTTTTGTAGGGCTTGCCACAGCGCCACCAGCCGTGTACATACAATGCAATGTAGGGTCTCAGCGAGCGCTTTGTATTTATTGCGCTCATGTTTGTTTCTTGTAGCTTGTAGCCTGTAGCCAGCGCTGACCGCTTGCGACCATTTGCTGCCCACGTTGTCCTTGCTGCGGCCCCGACGCAGATGCGCGGAAAGGCGCGCGGCAGATGTTGCCATGAAAACCTCGGGCCCGCCAGTGCCTAAGACCGCGCGTGCGCTCGCTGTTGCGCGCGGTTGGTTGTTAGGTCTGGCAATGGTAGGCTTGTGATCAGCGCTGGCAGGCACTCGCGCAAAGTCGCAAGTATACTGCGCTGCACTGCCATTATTTCACGCGCGCGGCGTTGGTTCACAAGCCGATGCGCCGCGCAGTGCCACGTCGCCGTATGCGGCATGCTTACAGGCATCCGCGGCGTGGGAAACATGTTCTGAATATGCAGCCTCGCCTGGCCGTTCTTGCGCGCTGGTACATCGACGCATTCGCCTGGCGGAAGTTGCCTTGCATGAGCCGTTGATGTTGGGCCGTGGGCCACGCGGCAATTCGGCAAATGGCTCGCGCGCCCCAGCCGCCAGCATCGCAGCAGCCCAATGGGTCGCGCGCCCCAATTCCCAGCAGCTGGGCTGCGCGCGGGGCCGCGCCGCGTAGTTCCCGCCCATCTGGCGGCGCGAACTTGCTCTGGCTGCAAGAGCATTTGCGCTTGCGACGGGCCAGCTGGCCAGCTGGCCAGCTGCTGGCTATGGGCTATGGTTTGGGCGTCTCGATCGGTTTGTGTTTGCGCCCAGGCGCGTTGTTCGCAGCGTGGCTTGCGCGTCTGTTCATGGTTCAGCTGTTCAGCTGCCACTGTTGAGCATGATGGCGTTGGCGATCGCTTACTTGCCCGACCGCGGCCTGAGTTATGAGTGGCGCCGTTGGCTTCGGGCATTATCCAAGCGCGGGTTCTCGGTCCTCGGCCGCCCTGCAATCGCGGCGGGCCCGAGGTCAGATGTGATTTGGTTATAGATTCGATGGGCGGGCACGCGCGGGCTCGCCATTTCGGGGCCGCGCGCTTTTGCACCTGCCGCGGCACATTCGGCGGGCGGCATGGGCGCGCGATTGCCGCGGGAGCTGTCGTTGCGTTTGTCGTGCCATAGCCTTTTCTTTCTGGGCGCTCTGCTGTTTTCCGTGCTCCCATTTCCAAGCGTCTAAACGGCTAAGGTCTAAGCTTTAAGCCTCTCGCGTTTAAATATCTAAGGTGCACTGTTCCAGGCTTACGCGTTGAAGGTCGGGCTTCAAGCCACAGCAGCGCCCTGGGCAGCGAGAATGCACGTTCGAACGGCCAACGTTCCAACTCCTCCCTGCTTAAGCGTTGCCAGGTGCTCAGTTACCGATGGTATGTGTGCCCTTTGTGCACCGAGTTCCTACGCATCTGAACAGTTCGGTGTAGCGCGCGGCTCGCGCGCGTGCCAGCGCGCGCCTGGCCAGCGCGAGCGCGACGCGCGGGCGAGGATGGCGTCTACGGTCTACGCGCCCAGCTTCCATAAGCACAGAGCAGACGGCACGCGCGCGCAAGTCGCAAGTCGCAGAGCAAGTCCACAGTGACGCTTGCTGACTGCGTGGAAATGCGAGAAAAGACAAGGCGCGCGCCGCGGCGAATTCGGGTTGCCCGCGTCGCATGGCCGCGTGGCCCGTGGGCGGATTATTGAGAGATGATAGCTGGCAGCTAGGAGCTAGGTTCGAGGTGCGAGTTGGTAAATTCAAATTTGATAGTTGGCAGCTGCTAGACGCTCGCTCGCTAGCTGCTGGCTGCTCGCTGATCGCTGATGGTTCGTCAGCGACCAGCTGCTAGCATGCTAGCTGATCGCCGCTAGCTGCTCGCTGCGAAGTGCTAGCGGCCCGTGCCATTGCGCTGTCGGCTAAAAAGCGCGGCAGCCCGCAGCGGGCGTACAAACCGCCCGCGTGCGCGCGCGGGGAGGTGCGCATTCCCGCCGCATAGGAATAGCCATGCTGGTTGAGGCTCTGCGATATGGAGTCTTGGGCTTAAGGTTGGCCCATAGCGCCTGGCCCCATGGCGCCTAGCGCCTGGCGCCCAGCGCTTAGCGGGCATCTCCGAGCGGCCCAGAGCTTCGCGCGCCGACATGGCTCTCAACGCGTCGCGCGGCGCTCGCCCGCCTGCCCGCCGTGCCACGTGAAGCGCGCGCTTGAGTCGCTTGCGCGCGCCAGCGGGCGGCCCAGCAGTTTGCAAACTCCCAGTTGAAAGGCTGCCGCTTTGGCCTGGGGTCTGAGGTCTAAGGTCTAAGCCCCAAGCCTTACCCCAATCTTAGACATGTATGTGAATCCTGGGCGCCCGCGCATATGGCGCCCGAGTTCCAAGGTGCTTATTTGTTTACTTAACCGTGGTCTTCGCCACGCGGCTTCGCGCGCTCATGGCGCAGCGCGTCGGTCGAGGCGAGCGCGCGCGGGGCGCTCCGCAGACGCGCTGCAGAGACAGCCTTGTATGGTGTAGGCGTCGAAGTGACA